TTTTTTTTTTTTTGCAACTGGTCATTAGAGAGCTTTTTTCTCACTGCATTTTGTAACTGATTTCAGTCCAATTGAGGAAAAGTTCTAAACCAATAAATGGGGTGGTGCAGCCTCCAGGCCAGGCCTTGTCTTCCCTCCTTCGGTGGTAACAATGCCAGTGTTATCACTGTATCAGTGATACAGGGATACTCGTACTGTATCGGTTTCTTAGGGTTGCCATAAGAAATTGCCACAAATTGGATGGCTTCGAACAACAGAAATTTATTCTTTCACAGTCCTGGAAGGTACAAGTTCAAAATGAAGGTGTTGGCAGGGCCATATGCCCTATGAGGCTCTAGGGGAGGACGCTTCCTAGCCCCTTCCAGCTTCTGGTGGCTGCTGGCGCTCCTTGGCTGTGGCTGCCTCACTCCAGTCTCTGCCTCTGTCTTCACATGGTCTTCTTCTCTGTGTGTCTGTCTGCACATAAGGACACCAGTCATTGGATTAAGGGCCCACTTCAACCCAGTGTGACCTCATCTTAACTTAATTATATCTGCCAAGACCCTGTTTCCAAATACGGTCACATTCTGAGGTTCTGGGTAGGCATGAAGTTTGGGCGGGGGCCCAGAAATCCATCCACTGCACGTACCATCACTGCCCATATTTTATTAAACATTGATTGGATGCTAGGACTTAGGATATAATGGTGTATTACAGCAATTTGTTGGAAATCAAGACAGCCTTTTAAGCACAAGCTTCTAAGTGGCCAGTTAGAAAAACAAAATCGAGTCCTTGCCTCCCGAGCGTTTCACCTGGAGGCAGGATCTCCTTGTCTTTCTGGTGCCGTGTCCACACTTTCTGGGCCCACACCCACCTCCAATGATGCTGTGATGCTTGGCCTGGAAATTCTTCACGCTGTCTAGCCCTGAGCTTTTGCAGACCCTGTCACTGCCACCTGCAATGCCAGCCCTTGTCGCCCTGAAGACATCCTCTGAGGCCCTGCTTGGCAGTCGTGTCCCATCTGTGAGGACCCTCAGGGCCTCCCATGTGTGTCTATCACTCTTTGGCTGTGAAAGACGTTCTGGGTGGCTGGTTTTGGCCCTGGCTGGGGTGGAGGAGCTTGAGAGCAGGGACTGGCTTATTTAGGTCCAAGTCCCAGGCACCTATCCTGGAGCCTGGCATGGCAGACACACCAAGTGAAGTTGATGGATTTGCCATTTCTGTAAATGACTCCACGGGCCATCCAGGTGCTCTGGCTGGACACCCCTCATTGAGTTCTGTCCATTCTCCCTCAAGAACCCAGCTTCCTTCCAGC